TGGCAACTGAATCAAGAGTTTGGATGTCTCTTCCCTCCCTAGACAAAGGTATATTGTTTGGAGGGATAAAGGAGGTCACTACCAGGAAGGCCACTTAAAATCTGGACAAAGTATTCTTTGGTATTCTTTGGGTGGACAAGGGAAGTGAGTCTTGGCTCATAAAAGGGCTTAGTAAAGAAATAACCAATCAGAAAAACAAAAGCAGGACTAGCAATGAAGACACAACATTTCTGGAGCTGGAAACAGAGGAATGGATAAAAAGGGAAGCCTTGAGAGCCACAAAGCAAAATTATGAGGCTAACAAGTAGGTAGTCCCACTTTTCTGACAGCTCTGTGGAAACTGTGAGTTTTGTGGCATCACTGAAGAGCCAGACTCACCAAGACCTAGATGGAGATACAGAAGACATCCACTATCACACTAGCAATGTGCTAGGACTCAAAGTCACATTCAAAGTTAAAGGACAGAACTAGTCAAAGTCCCACCTATGGACAGGCACAAGGTTTCAGATATATAACCTTACAATCTTATTTAGTGTAGGAAAGGAGGCCATCAGAAAACAAAAGAAATAGCTGGCTAAGAAGAGCAATCCAGTATGTTAAAGAGACATACGTTTGGATTCCTTTGTGGTTTGGGGGAAGTCTAGCTTTTCCCATTTAAAATTTTTCCATTGATAAAATGGAGATAATAACTTACTGCAACTTAAATGACATCTGGGTCCACTCACCCTTGTTAATCTTACAGAATTCAATTTTAAATCCTCAACTTCAACCATATTTTCCTAAGACTGAACAAATTCCCACAAATTTATTCTCTTATGGTCCCTAAGAGTCTGGTCTCTTATGTTCACAGATGCTTTCTCTGCCAAGTCTGAAAAAATTCCAAACACCAAATTGCCTCTCTACCAGTTTCCCCCTAGAGAGAATACAAATCTAGAATTTTAAAGGCAGTGGTATTTCTGGTCATAACTTGGGGACCTGTTTGGAACTCTATGCTCCTGTGTAAATTCACTCACTTGTCCCTCTTCTTGCCTTCTCCCACCCTTTTCCTCAACTAGCTCCAGGTTTTCTCCATCTATGAAGCTGAGGCAATTCCCTTTTCTCTCAAGCTTCAGCATTGGCTGACCACCAAGACAATGGACAGAGATTCATTTTCTCCCCTAGGAACCAGTCAAAGTATTTTCCCAATAAAAACAATTCTCAAAAAAAAAATTTTTTTTTCTCTCTTTCAGAAAATTCAGTAGCTATTAAAGTGCTAACATTTTCTCCACTTCCTCATGGGACTTTGCAAGATTGTTAGGCAGGGTAAATGAAACAAAATAACAAAGTGCTAGCACAGTGCTTTGCACATGGCAGACACCAAATAAATACTGGATACCACATAATGACCCTCCCAGGTAGATTTAATCCCTGAAAAAAAACATGCCTATACTACCAGAGACTGGTCACTTACAGGAAGAGGATCTTGGACCCTGACTAGTAGAAGTAACTGATAACAAGCACTTAAAGCTAAGAAGCTCTAAATTTTTCTTCAAAAACACAATGATCATGACAGACAACAGGATACAGTGGCTTGTCTGCCTTCTTCCAAATGGAGTCACAATATACAGCGAAACAGACAACACAAAGATACTACACAATAAAAGTCTCTTGTGATCAACCCAATTCATGAAAGAGGGAAATTCTGAAGCACTGCTGCCACCACCAATCTTTCTGGAACGTTCACTTTGAATTTTGGATTTCCTTCTGCTAATTACGTAAAGTTTCCGTGTTTGTTTTTTTTCCAGCTTTAATTGAGTTTATTGGTACATTTTAGGGATACAGTAGTTATATTCATTGTTGGGATCTTGTACCTCTACATGACAAGTCTTGATTCTCATTTTTTCCCCTTACCTCTGCCCTCCCTTCACCCCCTCCTCCCCTCCCCATCTACAAACACTTTACTTTCATCTTTTCATTCTCACATTTTTTTCTTTTCCCTTATTACCCTTCCCCTACCCATCCCACCTTCCCTACACCTTTAGCCCCTTTCTTCCCATTTCTAAATGTCAGTAATCTTATTAGGATCTTATGTATTATTGCAGATTATTCACACAGGGAAACTATTCGGTATTTACACATGTGTGCCTTATTTATTTCACTTAGGAGTATATCTTCAATATGTATCCATTTGCCTATGAATGAATCTATTTTCTCGTTCTTTATGGCTGAGTAATATTCCATTTTATAGAAAATCCACATCTTTATCCAGTTTCCAACGGATGAGCAAATGGGCTGTTTCCAAGATTTAGCTATTACAAACTGTACTGCTATAAACATGGGTGTGCATACTTCTCTGTGATATGATTCTTTTAGTTCTTTTGGAAAGATACCCAGCAGAGGGATGGCTGGGTCAAATGGAACCTCCAGTCCAAGCTCTTTGAGGTATCTCCATATTGATTCCCATAATGGTTGCACCAGTCTGCACTCCCACCAACAATGCAGAAGGGTTCCTTTCTCCCCACAACTCCGCCAACATTTGTTATTGTGTGATTTCTTGATAGCAGCCATTCTTTGTGGGGTGAGGTGGAATCTCAGTGTTGTTTTCATCTGCATCTCTTGAATGATCAGTGATGTGGAACATTTTTTCATATATTTACTTGCTGCTTTTACTTCTTTGTCTGAGAAATGTCTGTTCATTTCGGATGCCCATTTTTGAATCGGGTCTTTATATTTGGGGGGACTGATAATGTTTTGAGTTCTTTATATATCCTTGATAATAGTCCTTTGTGTGAGGAACAGCTGGTAAAATTTTTTTCCCACATTGTAGATTGTCTCTTAGTTCTGCTGATGGTTTCTTTTGAAGTACAGAAGCTTTTTAGTAAGATGAGATCCCAGTTGTTGATTCTATATGCTAGTTCCTGTGCTACGGAGGATTTGTTCATAAAGTCTTTTCCTATGCCAATGTCTTCCAGAGTTCTGCCTAACTTACCTTCCAGCAAGTTTAATGTTTCTGTTTTAATATTTAGATCTTTAATCCATTTGGATTTTAATTTAGTGCATGGCGAAAGATAAGGGTCTAATTTTAATCTGTGGCAGGTTGACATCCAGTTTTTCCAACAACATTTATTAAAGAGGCTATCTTTCCTCCACTGAGGATGGTCAGCTTCTTTTTCAAAGATGAGGTAGCTGAGGACATCTGGGTTTGTTTTTGTGTCTTCCAGTCTGTTCCACTGATCCTCAGGCCTATTTCTTTGGCAGTACCATGCTGTTTTTATCACAGTGGCTTTGTAGTATAGTTTCAAATTGGGAATTGTTACACCTGGTGCCATGTGACTATTGCCTAAAATGGCTTTTGCTATTCTAGGTCTCTTGTGGTTCCAAATGAATTTTTGGATTCTTTTTTCTAGTTCTGTGAAATATAGTGTTGAATTTCAATTGGCATTGCATTGAATGTATATAGCAGTTTTGGTAGTATGGCCATTTTCACTATGTTGATTCTTCCTACCCAGGAGCAGGGGATATCTTTCCATTTTTTTATATCCTCTTCAATTTCTTTTTTCAGAGTGCTGTAGTTTTCAGTGTATAGATCTTTTGCTTCTTTTGTTAGATTGATTCCTAGATTCTTCATTTTTTTGGATGCTATTGTAAAAGGAATTTTTTCCCTTATTTCTCTCTCAGTGAGACTGTTATTTGTGTATAAGAAGGCTATTGATTTTTGGGTATTCACCTTGTATCCAGATACTCTACTGAATCTGTCAATTAAGTCTAGAAGTCTTTTGGTGGAGTTTTTTGGGTCTTTGATGTAGAGTATCATATCATCAGCAAATAATGACAGTTTAACTTCTTCCTTTCCTATCTTTATTGCTTTAATTTCTTTCTCTTGTCTAATTGAAGTTTCCGTTTTGTGTGACAACTAAAAATCTTTTCTCCTATATGGCACCACCTAGAAAGACAAAAAGCTCTTCCTGCATCTCAAAACTCAAAACATACACAGCCCAATTAAGACTGCAGATTACTATGATGACAAAGCTGATCTTCCTCAGGAAATTCTCATGGGCTTAGCCTTTGGCATTCCTGCCAAAAGGAACTGGCCTGGTAGATCATTTGCTCTCTCTGAGGATCAGCTGGTGATAATTGCTGTTGAGGAACAGCACAGTAAGTCTGGGCACCTTGCCAGATTCCTGGAGTGCAAGTAGCAAGGTGCCTTAAACCTTTGCCAAGCAGCAGCCTTTCTAATCACTTAAGAGTCAGTATTCCTCCTTAAATACCAACAGTTTGGAAGAGAAAGTTTTGTGCATACATGAACATAAACACACACACAGAAGGCAGCTCACCAACAGGCCTTACTTTGGGCACCAAAACTGAATGCAATATGTGCCGTACACTAAGTTTCAGGATGAACCACTTTCAGCTCCCCTTTCCATAGCATGAATGAAGAGGTACCAGAGTATGGTCAAGTGAATGAACATTGGTCCTGCACCCTCCATCCATCTCCAAAAGCTGTTTTGATATTAACCCCAGCTTAAATGGAATTATAGGTATATCTGATTTTAAAAAATGTGAGAAGGCAGTCAATTTGAGAAGGATCAAATCTAGGGACAGCAACAAGGTCTTTCAGGGACTATTACAAATGGGGCCTAAACTCTCAGGACTAGAACAAGAACTGTGTTCCTCCAAAAATAGATAATACAATCCAAGTTCATTCTTAAGACCCCAAAGAACTTCAACAGGTAGATCTAAAAGTCCTATGGTTCTGGCCCAAAGTTTCTGTAACAGGGAGACCTATAAATTAGTTCTTTCTTTGGGCAGGCCTGTAATGCATTTATCCTCATGTGCTCATGTTGTCTAGTAAACAATTTGTTAACATTTCTTAATAAGAGAAATGATCAAGATCTGCCAGTACAGATAAATGTACATACAGCAACTGCAATAAAAGGGTACAGTTACTGAGCTAGACTTTAAAATTGTTAGCTTAATTAAGTACTCTCTCTTGAACCCCAAGCCAATGGCACACCACTCACCTTCCTCAAAGCTGGCGTTCTTCTGTCTCACTAGTGCACGGAAGTTTTCAGCAGGATTCACACTTCCAACCTAGAATATCACAGACAATGAACCTGCAGGTTACTTCTCTTACTGTCAGCACCCCAAAGAATGCAATACAGCTTAAGGCAATGAAAGTGAATGTGCTCTTAAAGACAAAGAGAAGGCCATTTGTGACACTGTCATTTCCAGGGCTCTGTGAAAAGCTAGCAGATTTAAATGATCACATAGTTGCCCTGTCTACTTTAATTCACCTTTCTTTATGCAAACTGACTTGTTTCCAGAGGTCAGAAGTACTAAAATGCTGGGCACTAGCCATCTCAGCTTGAAGGATCTATGTGGTACAGCTGCCTATATATCCAGATACACAACCTATTAGGAATGGGAGGATGCTCTAGTGTGGGATCACACTAAATATACTTGTCCCACTATGATGACATGAGAAGTAACAGCATAATGCTTGATTCACTCAATAGCCCCTTTGTGGGACTGCTGCTGGCCCATAAGAATTGAAGTTTTAGTAAAACACACAAATATGCCCAAGCTGAACATGTTGCCAACAAGCAAAAGAAGATCATGTACAAAGGCTTACTGCAGTCTAGAGGAGAAAGTGCTACAAAGATGCAACTCTCAGCCACGGTATACGGGACTTTCTGATCACTATATCTGCTGGTCCCAACCCTAACAGGGCCTGAGCATCACTCAGCTCACATGAAAGAAAACAATGGGGTTCCGATTAGGGCTGGAGAACCTTAGTACAAAATGTACTGTTTGCATTTTGCTTTGCAATAGCAAGCAGAAAAGCTCTTGGAACAAAAGAGATCATGAGTTTTTCCTACATTATAAAATATCAAAACAAAATCCAAATCACTTTATCAACATTTGATTTTTCTATTAATTTTTTTTCCTAGTAACTGGGATTGAACCCAGAGCCTTCTCACTAAGCTACATCCCCAGTCCTTTTAATTTAATTTTATTTATTTTTAAAATTTTGAGACAGGCTCTCACTAAGTTGCCCAACTTGGACAAAGGAAAGTTATACTACTTAAATTTTTAGAGAGTAAGACTCAGATCATAAGGGCCGGGGATTCAGCTCAGTGGTTCGGTGGCCTGCCTTGCAAGTGCAAGGACCCAAGTTCAATCCCCGGTACCAAAAAAAAAAAAAAAGAGAGAGTAAGACTCAGATCATTAACTTTCACTTATCTTGTCGTTTTGACTAAAGGGAAACCTGAAAAATGAAACCAACAAAAAAATCTGTACAGAAAGTGCTACCACTACAGGAATGGAAGCACTGTAATGCCAGTACACCAGGGAAGCTGAGGCAGGGGGATCTCAAGTTCTCAAGTTCAAGCTCAGCCTGGGCAACTTAGTGACTTAACAAGACCCTGTCTCAAAATAAAACATTAAAAAGGGCCAGGAGTATAGCTCACTGCAAAGGCCCTGGATTCAATCCTCAGTAACAAGAAAGGGAAAAAAAACCTATTACTGAGATTTTCCATATTCTATAAATTATTTAGAAAGAAAGAAGTATAAGATGGCCCTAAAATGGTAAGTTAACAGAACACTAAAGCTGATACCATCCGCCCAAAGCCCCAATCTCCCTGCACAGGGGAACACACACTGGAAAAGCCCTCCTTACCTTGGTGACACTGCCTTCAGCCAGGCTAGAGATGCTGAAAGCTTCTCCCTCCTCAGTTTTGTGTTTTTTAGCAGTAGGTCCCTCTTCATGGCTAAAAAAGAAATGTTTTTTTTTTTCCTTTAAAAACAAACAAAACCTGCCGGGCATGGTGGTGCACTCCTGTAATCCCAGCACTTGGGAGGCTGAGGCAGGAGGATCGCTGTGAGTTTGAGACCAGCCTGAGCTACATAGTGAGTTCCAGGTCAGTCTCAACTACATAGTGAGACCCTGTCTCAAAAAACCAAAACAAACAAACAAAAACAGAATTTTTATGTGAACAGTATAAATTTATTTCCTAGCATCAAAACCAAATAGTCACAGCACTTTGTCTTTACAACTTGTCTCACTCTCCCAGCTGCAGGAACCCTGGCAGCCTGACCTGGAGCCACCTTGTGTTTTCCCCCAGCAGTATAGAAATCATAATTAGTAGGTATATCACAAAGCCCTCACAGAAGATGAAACTGTAAGCACAAGTAATGGAAATACAACATTTAAATAAAAACTCATCTACCCTTCAGACATTACTTGCAGTCCCTGCCTCAGAATTGATAGCTATTAGCTTTCCGTGTATAGCTTTTTTTTTTTTTTTTTTTTTG